AAGAAGTATTTATCAATTTATATTAGTATGTTATATAAGATATTGTTCAAATATAATCTATGCTGTTCATTTCGAAAGTGTAAATAACCAACCATAGCAACAATTATTAGGTGAATAATTTTTCTTTGGAGTAGTTCATTATTTAAATTTTTGCTAAACAGATACTCGTAAAACTAGATTAAACAAAAGCATCACATAAAATTCTACTATTTACAACATTAAAAGTTTATTAACAAAAATGTAATTCAAAAAAAAGTATCATTACTATAACATTTTAAATATTTATCTACGTAGGAGAATACAAATTAAATATAAATTTATGTAACCAGACAGTTATTATAATACATACCTTTTTTTCCATGTCAGCTGCTTAGACTATCGATCTATCTCATCCGTTGCTTGTCCATACATCATTCTCTCTCAAGGGTATAAACTAACATCTTTTTATTTATTGAAGCGAATAAACACGTGAGTATCATAATCTCATCACAACAATCAATATCAAGAGGCATAATCACATGATTAACCTGTACAGAGCTTAAATAAATTAACACGAAAAATTCGGTTCCGTCTTAAACGATGATAACAGTCACCCTAATCTTGTTGAAATGTTATTAATTGTAATATCTCAATAATGAAGACCAATTTCCCTTTGAATATTTTGACGATTATATTCAACAAGTTGATTGATTATTCTTGTTTGAATTTAAAGTGACTATTTGAATTTGATTTGTTTGATTTAATTGTTCTGTAAACTTCACACTAACTCAACAAGTCCATTTACAGGGAAAAAAATTAGTTTTATCTAATTTTTCTCAATTACAAATTTGACTCAAGCAAGAACAATTAACGTAGTGGAATATCATAAATTCATTTTATTGAGTTATTTCTCATCAGCTGAATACTTTAGTGGCCCGTTATTTTGACGCCAATTAGACAGGACAATGATATTGTCGACGTGCTCACCACTTTAGTGGCTCGAAATCTAACTCCAGGTCGATCATATAAATGAATGTCATTGAAATATACATGTTGACAATCCTCGTACATACTCATCAACTTAAATCGCGTTAGTGAACAACGAAATTAAATAAGTCAACTAGGAGAATGAATTTCGAATACGTATATTTCAATAACGATAGTCACACGATCTAATTGGAGTCAGATAACAGGCCACTAAATACAACCTAAACATTATAGTATTAATTACTAATAATCATTATATTTCATTTGTATTCTAATATCAGAAATATTCTCATTGATAAGGATTAATAAAACGGTAATAAAAACGTTATATGATGGAAAGAAAAGTCAATTTTCCATTGATTTACTCATTATGAGTTTTGTTCAAAATTACTTCCGTTTCGATTCAATGTAATGATTACTCAATGTAGTATTTGTTTTCTTCTCTCGTATGGTATTTTATTCTGTATAATGTGCGATATTCTTGTATTCCATTGACATGGACAATGCTCAGTCTGTGACTTGTTATAACTTGAAGTATTTTTCATATATGTGATTTCATCCTAATTCTTAATCAAAATGGGTGTACAATCAATATATAAATTTGTATATTTTCTACTAGAATTGTCATCATCGTGTTTTGGGGTTAGTAAATCATCACTTATACCAGTCTTTGTGTTCTTACTTTCGCGTCGTGGGAATTGCGGAGGTCCCTTGTTCGGAGTATAAATGATAAGCGTTTCCGACACAACAATCAGCGACGACCAGATATAACAAGTAACATACAAACGACAAGACATATCAGTGGGGACGGGATAAAAAAAAGTAGCTTTAAAAGAGCCAAAACAATCATCATCCAAATGACAGGTTATAACAGCATGAAAGAATTAAAAAATGCATTCAAATGGTAGGATAATTATATGAAAATTCTTAAAGAAAAAATCCATATTCAAGTTTACCCAACAATAACAACAAAAATTAAATTTTGATTACTCTATTTTAGTTTCTGTGATGGAATTTTGTTGATCCTAGATTTTAATCTGGTTATATTTATCAGGGTTGTGAATACAAACAATTCAAACTATTATAATACTAATTATGATTATCTGTATACAATATATCTTACAGCTTATTCATTTTTCTTAAACTTTCTGCATCTGCATTCAGTTCTTGGTAAAAAAAATATAATAAAAAACATTACGTTTTTATTTCGCAACAGTTTCCAAGGAAAATTACCTCATGGTTTCTCATTTCATAGAGAATGAGACTGTTTTCTAAATAATCATTCAAAAGAATAGTTGAATTATTCATTACATACCAAGTGGTAAACAACAAAAATCTTGAAATATATAAGACAAATTTAACTTGAGGAGATCTAGCTTTTAAATCATTTGTTCGTATTTTCGTTAGTATTATTGCGAAATATCTATTCAATAATTTTGTAAAGAGAAAAATAAATGCTGTTGGTGTAGTGTTACAGCAACGAGTAAATAGTGGGATCAAGCCGCTAGCTTTCTTTTTCAAGAAGTTTGAGCCTGCTCAAACGAGGTATAGGACCTTTAGAAAACAGCGAATAGCTGTTTGTCTAGTTGTTATGTATTTTGACCATTTGTTGCAAGGCAGAGATTTCTTGATACTTACCGCCCCTGAGATATGCTTTTACCGCTAAAAACTGACTGATGTTCGTCTAGACGAAGACGACTACTCAGTTATATTTCTCAGTTCTCGACTGACATTCAATTTATAAAAGCGGAATTGAATGTTGTTGCAGACGCGTTATTAAGCTGAAACGTGTGCGCTATAACATCTACAAAATAAATCTATCTGTTGGACATCGCTCGTTTGGGTGATAATCGCTCCGATCTTATCGCTTGTAACCAAGACCGAAGTTCACTATTAGAGGGTATTTTACCGAAATTCTGACTACACAATAATGTGTGACACATAAACTAATATACACAAACCGTTTGTTCTCAACCTTATTTAATTTGGTCTCAGAAATATTTGTTTGGCCAAAATGAACTCAAATATAAGGCTATGGACACAAAACTGCCCATAGTGTCAGCGCAGCGAAGTTCATAGACATACCATTATAACAATGTTAAGATGCATTCTACCAGATCGTCGTTTTTAACACGTTCATAGTGACTTAGTCGATCCATTGGGTTCATCTCATGGTTTATTTATATCTTTATTGCAGTGGGACGTTTGAATTGTATGTCCAGTTAAGGAAATCTTATCAGAAAATGTTACTGCTGTATTCTTAGATATATGGATTTCTAATTCTGGTTCGCCTTCTACAATTTTACACCCGGCGGAGGCTCACCGTTTTAGTCGCATCTTTTTAACAAATTTATACGTATTTTAGGCATCCATCACATCACTACAACAGCATGCGATCCAGAAGTAAATGGACTAGTGGAACGATTCGTGAGACAACTGGAAAGCACGCTGATGCTACAGTCTAATGTAACCAAATGGAGCGAATTCTTACCTCCGATATTATTAGTCATACGCTCTATAATCAAGAAAGATTTCCAATGCAAACCTGTGCAGCTCATTTATAAAACTAACCTAACTTTTCCCGATCAACTAATAATGTATGAAGACAAATCTCTATGTGAAAGGTTGGTAAGCCATATGAACAATATTAGTCCTGTTGCACCTCAACCAGTTTTCACAAAATGGCAAGTTAACAAACATCTAGATAAATGTGAATTCGTATTTGTCCGTGTTGATTCCATAAGACGCCTTTTACAACAACTTCACAAGGTACCTTATAGGGCTTTTCAGAGAGGAGCAAACGATTTCACCATTAAAAAGAAGGAAGAAAAGGAGGCAGTTTCAACTGACAGGAATAAATATACTTTGGTATAAACTAAAACTCACGATCAACGGAAGTCGCCTCAAGACACTAACAGTTGCACTACTTAGCTCCTCACCTTCACATCCAAATTTTCACCTATGTCTTTAAAATCAGAACCTCCGATAACCGATAATGCTGACATCACATCGCACATAAACTTAGTTTCTAATTACACAACTTCACACATAGCGAAAACCATCCGTAATGTAGTGGGAGTAAATAAAAATGTACCTATATATGTTACTAGCAAACACTTACCCGTATAACTCTTGCTATTCGTCTCATGTCGTATACAGACTTCATTTAATTGATGAATGCATTCTCATAAACTTTGTAAAACATTTTCGATGAACCGCGTATTGTTATCAGGTCAGACACCATCTCTTATGCCAGGTACAAAAAGGCTTTTCAGGGAGTATTACAGTTTGTCTTCTGTCCTTTACAAAATGAAACTGAAACTAAAACCGTCCTGAGGTTAAATTTAAGTAGCCTCATCATTCATCAAACTTCAAATAACTGGCTAGATTCAGCGACACATGGTAGTCGACTGTACCGTTCAGAGTTCGTGTGGTAAGGAGTAAGAAGTTATTATTCAAGAATGATTAAATTTATGTACGGTTTTGTCATCCAGTGCGTCCTTACTTAAGAAGCAGAGAGAAAATCTATAACGTGCTGAAAAAAATGAGATTTTATGAAGGATGCGTTCCTAATACACTGCTGGTAGACACAGCATTTGTTTCCCCAACTTCATGTAGTAGCTTAGTTAGTTTATGCTCTTCGTCAAGTCCACCCATGCGGTAATTAGTTCACAAATTCTTCAATGAGTATTAGCTGTGTGACACGGGGATATATGTTTAGATAGTTCGATAAACTTTATAAACAATAATTTTACACGACTTAGACCCATGGTTTCTCTTATTTAGTCCGTTTAAGCTTTGAATAATTCAGTTACTTGGGTACGCATCTACTTCACCTGTCTCTATTCTATATCAATTGAAGTATCTGAATGTCTTTTTCATTCCTCAAATATGTACCTAAGATCAAGTTCAAGATGTTTTCCGGCATCAAAGAGCATAAATAAACTATTTTAAACTCGGAAATTGCGAGTAACATCAATGTTTTCAGCAAGCTGCATTTTGTTTAGTTTGTTAGAGTCATAACAACCAGCAGTGCATTTTTTGAAACAACGGATCTTCCCAAGGTTACTACTAGTCTTAGCCATAAGACTGTCTTAATTCCAAGCAGATTTTGCTTTCAGTTTTGATTGATTGCTTTTGATGTTAAAATTAAGCTTATTTTACGTCTTCAACGAGTCATCCTCTAACTATGTATAGTTGTAGTAGTATAAATATAATCATATAATTTTGTTCAGTCTTCCCTATCACAATTCCTTCACACCGAAATCTTCGCAAACTCAAACAAAACAATACATTTCCAAGGTATATGCATGGCAACCAGGTCAAATCACGCGTTTTTAACGATTTTTTCATTGAGTTTCAAAACTATGGGACGAATTTGATTAATGTTCGGTGTATTTTGGAACAGATTTATTGAAAATTTTTCTGAATTTTTATAAGATTTCTTGAACGTTCTATGAGCTCTTTGTACAATCATTCCCAAAACTATTCTTTGTTTTTTTGGTTTCTAGATTCTCGTTTCCATACTTTTCACTGTAAATCCTGAGGGCTATAGTTTTCACGTGATAGAACCAAGTATACTACTACATCAACGTCACATAGGAATCTGGTTGACATGACGGCAGGGAAGAAGAGCAAACGCGATGAAATATCGGCTGTAGATTGTGTAAGACCAAATAAATCTCTTATTTTTAAATCAAGTTTGATGAGGTTGTACTTGGTATACATCAAGCTGAGTCAGCTGTACTTATGCTAAAAAGTCCTGAAGACGATGTCAAGACCCGAGCTTGTGAAGCATTATACAAGTTTTCGAATAAAAGTTGTTTACTTTTAGTTTTGTAATCTATATTTAGGTGACGAAAACAAAAAAGCCCTGATATCATTAAATGTTCTAGAATACCTCCAGCCTCTAGTAAGAGATGAAAATAGGGTAGTAAAAAGGAATGCGGTACTTGTTTATGGAGTTCTATCGTCACTTCCTTCTGCAAGGTCTATCATTAGGAAACTGCCAACTATTGTTACTGATCTTCTCAAGCTTTTGGACTCAGAAGGTATGTTGTTTGTATGCTGTGCTTTATCTTCCGAACTTTTTGTTTTAATGTAGAATTTGAGACAACGAAAGAATTTGCGGCAATGACATTGTCACATCTTTGTTTGGAATATGCTGGTATATACGAACTTATAGAGCATAAATGTTTCTCTGTTATCATACCTTGTTTGAAATCACCTGATCCAGATGTACAGAAGAATACATTGGATATAATACATATGTTACTCCAGGTATTATTTGAAATATTTCATTTGTTTCTGAAAGGACTTTGAAGCTCGCCCAATGCTGAAAGCTTCTGAAGGTCTGGAGACCCTGATTGAATTGTTGGTATCGGAGTATCCAGTTATTCAAGATTTAGTGTTAAAAATATTTGCTAGAGCAGCACAAGACAGTAAGTATCTGAAAGACCTTCATGATTGGCATGAAAAGTTATAAATACTTGAAAATACTCAAGTATTGCTTAAATTTGAGACTATTACTTCATAGTAAAAGTTCTGGTACTTCTAAACTGCTGAGAAACAACATTATTCCTCTGTTCAAACTGTTGACCAGATAACAGCGTTTCGGGCTAATAGTGTACCTACCCTTATGTGCGTCTATGTTAGTCGATTTTCGATAGCAACCGTTGTTCAAAGCATGATGATCACACTATTGAAGTTCTTTCCAGCTGTCATGCTGACATATCTGCGACTTACTGATATATATCTTAAAACTCCTAATTCTTATCCTCAAGCACATCAACTGTTAGCATTCTTACTGAAATTCCGTTTATACAAACTGTGATAATAATATTTTAGTTTTATTTCTTCTGTACGATGGACCTAGATATCGTACGTTTGCCCCAAATGCTTATGCTGAAATATTATTTTAGTTGCATTTTTGTTATAAATCTTCTCACTACCATAATACTTAATTTAGGTGTAAGCAAGACCACATCGGTTAGCATATTTATCAGCACGACATTGGCAGTAGCTATATTAAAACACACTGGTGTGATACATTGTTCGACTCTTTGTCTTAGATTTTAGTACGTTGTGTTTTGACAGGCATTTAAGATGTTCAGTTAAGTCAACTGTAACAATATTAAAGTGTGAGGTTATTTATCATGATGTTTTTTCTGCTCTTCAGTATTATCACTTCCACAATAAACTCTAAAATGATTTTTATAGCACTGTATTCTTAAGAACGGTAGTTAGGCAATACAATCAAGCCTAATAAGGACTAGACAAGCATGACATTGATCACCACCCAGTGGTCAATCAATTGTAATCAAGCCTAAAGGACGAATATCAAGCACTTCAATTTTTCTTATGATACATGGTTATTTACCAAGTATTCAAAACCTATGATCAGATACTTGTAATCTACGTCTATTTTACCACTTTAGACAACTTAGGCTGATAAATGTTTACTAAAGACAAAACTATAGCTTTAACTGACTAACAAGTGGTTCAGTGAGTGGTTGGTACTGAGGCCAGACAATTATACTTTGTTAACAAAGTACTTTCTGTGGCAAAACTGTATCATACATCATTAAAAATCCACTCAGTTTTTAAGTAGGCGAATAATATAGCTTTATTTGATGGGGTCAAAGAAGTACAGTATTTTGAACATCATGCGTAGCGACCCAAGAATGATTGTTATCTATATAAAGCCTAGACACATTATCGTTAGACATGTCTTATATAACTTTTATTCAAACCATTTTCGGTACTTTTGAGGTCATCATATTTCATCATGTTTCCGTTAGCCCACAAGAACTTGCTTTAACCTTTATAATGTTTCAACCATGAGCTACTGACAAGTGCCTAGGTTTTTGTTCTGTTAGGAATAATATCTGAATTCTTCAATATTATCTATGATCATGCTAGGCTTCTCAACTCTAGAGTCCTATTTTATTTTCCGTGATACAATAATGTCCACCTTGACGACGGCTCAATCCTTCTCCTACCTTTGTTTTTGGCATTTAGATTGGCCTTGATCTACTAAATAAGGTCCCGCTACATTACACTTTGTGGACTAACTTACTCTGATAAGTGGTATATTCTATAAATGTGTATGTATTAGCATTTTATTCATAACCTTTTTCTAAATAGTTAATTGCTTTTCAGTGTTCGTCATCATCTTGGTCAAAAATATTTGTTTTTAAAGGTATAATAAGGACAGCCTTAAGAGATATGAATGCATTGGATGCGTTTGTTGATATTATTGGTGTTCCGGAATTTAACGATATACATGTTTCCGCCCTACAAGTAATTGCAAATTTACTAGACGATACTGAATGTGTAAAGGTATGTTTTGCCAGATAATTAGTTAATTTCTATTTGTGAGATTTTTGTAATTTGGTTAATCTCACAATAGTTCTTATAAGAAAAATGCACTTCGAAAACTCTAAGATATTCTTATTCTTAAAGTTAGGCGGAGTGCGATGACATTCTGTCTTAAACGACCCTAGAGTTACACATTTTCAAGAGTATTTGTAGGATAGTCTGTTTGTGAAAAAAGATAACTGTAAGCTAGTACGTTAGATGAATGCTACTTATGCGCGTTTACATATATATACGACAGTTTTTGATTGTTTAAGGTAGGGCAATTTTATCAAGGCAAAAAGTGAGCCTCAGTCGACCTCTACTAGCGTATTCAGAACAGTCCATTGCTGAAAGTCAATTGGTATATTTTAACCAGATGATTATTGAATATAAAACTTAATTTCTCGTTGAAAACGTGTAAAACAGCTATATCATTCCTCAAAAATAAAACACTTTCAGTCTTCCGTACTTTTCCAAGTAACCAGTTTATTTCTTTGCCTTCAAAATAAACTTTTTCTTTAAATAGGGATCAGTTTGTACTTATCTCGAATTTTTTAAACCAGGAATCGTAGTACCCTAAACGACTAATATCTGACATCCCATTAACCCCATAGACTGTTTGAAAGGCATCAGGTTTCTTACAGCTGATGGATAGTCTGAAATAGGAAAATTTTCAACAGCCATCAGATCAACTGATGCATCCAACTTGACCTCGCCTTATAATTGTCGAATTTCGCCCTTTGAGGTACTTTTTGCAAACAATTTGTGGAGGAAGCTTACACACACTTCAGTGATGATAATTTATTCAAACAGATTACTTCGAGAAGTTGTAAGAAGCTTACCGAAGTCCACCGTTTGCAAGAAGGACATTTCAAAAAGCTATCATAGACTTAAATCGTCATTTGTATTTGTTCCCTTTGCAAGAGGTTTTAGCAATGCAGTTGTTATCTAGCGAGAATTTATCATTTGTTCATTTTTCACAGCATTTAGTTAGTCAAGGCAGTCTTCAAAAATTATTGCATTTTATCACTGATCGTCAAGTTTATAATGAAAGTGATATTAAAGTCAATTCTGTGAATCAACAGCAAAATAAAGATAAGAACGCTAAAGGAAGGAAACCTAGTCCTAAGAAAGGTGATAAGAAAAAAAACAGCAAAGGAGAACCGGATGGTATGTTAAAAATCGATTTATAAAATTATTTAAAGCCAAAGAGAATAGAAAAGAGGAACTTCCGCTTTTACCCAGTCAATTCTTATCAATATTTTTTTGCAAAAGTGCCTTGCTCACGTAGAATTTAACAACAAAAGATAAATTAATTCGTAGCTTTAGAGCTTATACGGAATTTATATCAGACTTAGGTTTTTGGACTACCTTGGATATTTCGAGGATTGATAATCCATATCCTAGAATGTGAAGTTTATGTCAAGCCAAGGACCGGAGTGTTTATCACAATAACTGTAGCGTCCGAGTGAATATTGAAAATTTACCCCTTTGTTTAGGAGTTTATATATTTAAAGAGTAGTCAAAAATAAGTTTATTTATTTTTCCATAAAACTAAGCAATCATAACCTGTGGATAGCAAATACTATGCAATAAAAGGTTTTTACTTTTACCCACAATTCTAAGGATGAATTACCACAATTATTTATATAATGCTTTGATTTAATATGGTTGGCAAACAATTATTACTATTGAACAGTAATAATTTATTTTCTAAGCATAAACTCCTGGAACGAACGTATAAAAAGTATACCTCCATAGCATATATATGTATATATGCATATAGGTGGATAGACAAATAAATAAACAAATAAATAAATAGGTATATAGTTAGGTTGAAATCAGATTTCATTAGTGGGAACATTCTTATCTAGTTGTGAATTTTTATTATTGCTAACAAGGCTGATAACCGTTCTTCACTTTAATCTATAGATAATGTAGGAATTGTGATACATCACACTATATAAATATAAACTTGAATGCGTATCAGGATGAACTTCGCAAAGAAGTGAAGATAGTTAATTTAGCTTTCATTACTATGGACTTCATAGCTGTACGCCGGATTAAGGAGAGCTAAAATGTTTTCTTCATATAGTTTGGGAGTCAATATGCTATCTTAAATGTATGCTAAGAATTGTGCCCAGTTTAAATATTACTGAAGTGTTGCAAAATCACTGTAACTAATTAATCAGTCCTCTGTAGTTTTCAGAAGTCTAGTTTAATAAAATTTAAATACATATTATTATCTTTTAATTGTGGTAGCTAATAGGACATCATTATTTAGTGATTATATATAGTTTAATTGTTATAGGAATTGTTTATTTTGGTTCAGTGAAGTGCATAAGTCAACATGAATGAAATTAGAACAATCGTATTGATCGTTTCTAAAACGTTATATATGACTAATATTGTACTATTTGATTAGGAAAAAAAGACGAGGAAAAACCACCGTCAAATACTTTGCCAGAAGCGAAAATTCACACATGTAATGCACTTATGAGAGCTGCATGTAAAGGTTAGTTAATATTAAAGGTCATTTATGTTTATTATCGACAATGTAATATGCTTTCATTTTTATTAGTTCTGTTCTACAATTATAGGACGGCATTTAATTATACCTGTATGATTAGAAGTTCTCATATTTCGTATTTAAGACTTACTATAAAAGACTTTTTATATATTATTTATTTAAGGAGCCACTCAACTGGCAACTATTTCCAGTTGATCCTGAATTTATGTTAATATCCGTGAAATTTCTGTGACATACCTCACTGTATAGCCTAGAATTATCTTCAGTCCCAAATTAATCGATATATCGCTTGTACGATTCTAGTTCATTAGCATGATATGTTCGCAGATACTGTGCTAACGATATCTAGATTAGTGGTTGCACTAAAATGTGACCAATAGGTTATTATCTGTGTTGGAGACTTGATGAGCACGACGTCTGTTACTATACAGCGATGAATCAGTGTAAAGTAGGCCTATTTTCCTTTACATTTAATTGACTAAACAAAACTGAAGGCAGTGTATTTACTTGATAAAAGGTCATTAAAATTAGGTTCGAATGCTCACAAGAAAGAGGATATCAGTTAAAAGGAAGTGAGTAAATTTATAACTATAAAATATGATTGAACTTTGAGTCATAACAGTTAGAATCTGGAGCTACCAATTTTCAACATCCTGAAAGGCAACAGTTATTGATCTAACGCAGGTTCTGTTAAAATACTCTAATTTACCTTCAATCCTAGAACGGAGCCCACATTTAGACAAGTCAATATTGCGATTTTGGTGAGTGTTTGCTTAGCATGTCTGACATAACTTTTTATCAGAGTTCGTAAATGAGTATGTCTACACAAACAAAATCAGAAAACACTACATCAGGGTACATACACTATTTTTAGTTATGATTATTTAGTTTTGGTGACGGTCTTCAAAACTTTTCACTGCAACCTCTCACGAACAGCTCAAGTATACAGACATGACAGTTTTTTCAGAGATTTTTCATCAATAAAAACTGTCAAATATTGATAGCTTATTCTGCTAAAGCGTGCTACATGCATTTATTGATCGTGTGTTTCATTGTGTAGCATTTTACTACACTGATCGTAGGCTAGCTACTAAACTGCATGTCACACACTGAAGTCGTATCTGAATTGACTTGATTACTAATAGAAATGATCGTCTAGGGGGGTGTAGTTATGCTCTTCAATTGTCAACTGTTTAATAAATTACATGCTTTTTTCCATACTATACAACCATGCGTACAAAAACGTCAAATGAGAAATGGTGTTAAGTATTATTTTCCAGGAGAAAACCAATTCAGTTTTTGAAGTTAAAAACTTGTGTAAACCAAGTAAACAGAATAGCTGTAATGAACAAATACTTAGTTGGACTAACTAACTTAATGTTTAACACACAATCACACAATGGGTTGGTAAAATATGAAAATCATACATTGGATACATCATGTACACATCTTCTTTGAGTTGTCCTTTACACACTCCATTATTCCTCTATTTCTCTTGTCATTTCGATTGCTCTCAGATTTCCTTCCTGTTAAATTCATTACCATCATCTGCTGCCAGGCATTCCACTTGCGATTGGTGTTACATACTATTTATATATGTCTATATAAGAAGCATACTCTACATAATTTGTTAGACATATATAAGTCGCTCTAACGTACGATCCTAAATGAATTAGATCAAGCTACACTGAGTAAATGCTCAACAACAGGCCAGATAGCATAAATAAGAAAGTGAGTAAGATACAGACTGTCGGAACAGTTAATGTGAGCAACTAAATATTTCCTGAATGTTGTATAGACAACCCTACTGTTTAAGAGAGCAGATCATAGAACTTACATTTACTCTCTTACACATAAATATGTGAAGTTTAGCCTAATTTACATTATCATTTGTCATTATCCATCCTTTCTATCTTAGTCTCTTATATTTTGATTCTTTCTAATAGCAATCTAAGTACACTCAGTACTTTTTTAGATATTACAATTTGTTATTTATTTTTGTCATTCTAAAAAAATTCATTATTTTTTTCAATGCATTTGATTTTCAAACAATTTGTCCTTTCCATTTTATTTTAGAAGAAACAAGGAAAATTTTACACGATGCAGATGTTGAAAGGATGTTAGTATCACTATTATCTCATGAAGATGAAGGTGTACGAGCTGCATCAGCACAAGTTATTGCTATACTGTCAGAAAGTTCAGTATGTCAGGATAGAATAGCTGAATTAGGTGAATACATGTTAGAATATGAATATTACATAATGAACAGGATTATCTTTTTTGAAATCATCAAAACATTTATTTACAGTAATAAAAACAATTTGTAAATATTTATTTGCATTTAAAAGTCAGATTTCAATCAATAGGACAATGGTTTGTAAACTTAGAAACATTCATCGTAATAAGATAACATCAATCTAATGAGTACCTACATTACGTAGTAGTATGTCATGTAGCAGTTGAAAGAGAATATTTAAAGGGATTATTATGAGCCAATTAGTTAATGGATGTAAATATATAGAGAAAATCAATGGGGAACTAAACAATGACTTCCATTAATAATATTTTCACATATTTTTGATATTATATATGTTTGTTGATTGCACGGTTCGGTAAACCTTAACTTAAAAGTTCAAAGGAAATAACAGATCGCGAACTAATAGATTATAAAATAATAATTACTTACAACTTTATATTTATTCTCAACCCTGAAGATAATTGTGTTAAAGTAAGTTTATTTTTGTTTTGTGAAATGTTGTCATGACCAATGTCTACAGTAAACACATATTGATACAACTATAAAATTTACTAGTCTAACTGTTTAATAAAGAAGCGATTTACAGATTTAAAAAAAGGCAGGTTATTTAAGAAAGAGATGGAAAGTTTAATGGACAAGTCACCACAAATTCGACTACACAGAAATTCATGCTTCAACATAATGTTTATTGGCGTTTAATATGTTTCATTTTTAAGTTCAATACACCTTATCATTTTTGGAAACTAGTAGTTTCAGTAACTCAACTACAAAAAGCTTCAACTTTTCATGTTTTTTTTTCAGAAACAATCATATTCATTAGCACGGATATCTCATCCACTCTATATATCAATGTTTTGGGAACCGCATAATAAATTTATCATATGCTTACTCAAAGTGTAAATCTAAACTGTATGGCATTAAGTACCACATATTTCTAAAACTAATTTTTCCGCAAATGCCGTTATCTACATATAACAACGAAATTCAACATTTTAATAATATTTGGCATTTTGCTATTCTTAACCATGGTTGCTACTGAGGTATACAGACTGAATTTGATTGAAACTAAATTAAGCATTTCACTTAAATTAAAATACTACAGGAACGTGACCTACGTAATTCACTGTTTGTTTTAATCTACTGTATTTCCATTAGTATACGGCAATAAACCACAATGTATGGTCATTCGATGGTTGATTTTGAGCTTCTCTAAATCTTAAAAGTTGTATAAAATACAACACACTTTGTGACATATGCAGGATTTCCGTCTTCATTCAAAATATTTATTGAGAATTTCGTTCTTACATACCAGACATTTTCAAAGACAATTCGGTTTTGAGTCCTCTAGACAGTCATAGGGGTCTTACAACGTGATAATATTAAACCAGTTGGCTTGGAATCGGTTACGGTGATACGGATGTTTTCATTACTTTTTTCCCGAATTCTCAGTGTAACCCTATCGAAACAGGTTCTTTTCTTTATAGAAGATTTTCTAGACTGGAAGTTGAGAGGATTCATGAAACCTACCTATTCATTGTTGGGAAGTACTGCGATCATTTTGTAGATTTTCTTACTAATTTCCTGCGTAATCCAACTGTGTCAACTATTTACCAAAAACACGAAGAATAAATGGGAGATTTTATTGAGTTAGGAAAAGTGTGATTAGAAATGATGTAGTACTCAATTCTAAAAATTTTAAATGATAGTAATGTTTCAGAACATACTTATATTTTGATTAATTGGATTGATTCATCATTTAAGAAGAGTTAAATCACCACTACTCAAATAAAAATAGTGATGTCCACGAAATTTGTGAAGCAGCGAATTAATAATTAAAGCACTTGTCCTTTAACCGCTCAGTTACAATTTAGCACTTCCTTCTACTTCATTTACTTTGAGCAAACTGTCGGTATTACTAATCTTTACATAAAAATTATGACTGAATGCAGAGTACATTGATCAAGACTTCATAAATGAACTGCATCATAATTTATAATGAATTTTTATCCCTGATTTTCAGGAGCAAAACTATTAGGTACTGTTTGCGATATAGACTAATTCCCTAAATGTTTGGTCATTACACAAAAAGTAGCAGAATAATTTAGTTTGTTTATGTAAAAAACAGAGAATCTGTAATAGAAGTTGACGACGGATCACCAACAGGCGGTCCAAGTAACTTGGTAACCCAGTGAAATGGATATATTATTTTAGTCAATCCGTAGTATATTCAAAAATAACCGAAATCAAACACGGAAGAATCATATAATTGAACAGTGAATAAGATTAAATGGGTATGTTAGGTTCCTTTATTAGTAAAAACTAGGTAATATAAATGATACAACCTTTTGCTACTTAACTTTTCCGTCTTTAACATACATAGGTGGACCGGAATTACTTATTCGTATGACGCGGAGCGATCATCGTGAACTCAAATCAGCTGGAGCTACAGCATTATCTGCTTTGACTACTGGAAATGGATCAATTTGTCGGTAACTTGTTTAAATTGAACGCTTTTACACATTATTTTATATCTGATCATGTTCTGGCTTGAAATTAGTGTGCATGTTAGTTATACCTAGATACTAAGATTCCGTAGAGGCTTTACTTGTTTGATGCCTTATTTAACAGTTTCTTTCTCTAAATTATATTATGTACAAAGTTATGAGTGCTTATAAAGTAGCTAAATTAAATCATAAAGCCAAAATAACGAGTAACCAAGTGTTGTTCTAAACTAGCCTCAAACTTTTCGGGTCGATATCCTCAATATGGATAGAATCTATGACAGAAGTCATGAGAATGTACTTTCAAACTAAATAATATGATTTAGATGATTTTTCCATTTCCCCTTATTTTAAATACTTAAGCTTAATAGTTTGCTTATCCTTTCTGGTAGTTATATGTCTGGTTATAATCTGTGTTTTTGTTCACTTTTTCTGAGTTGCAGATAAAATGTCCTCCAGCAACTCTTTTTGTATTTCCCAATTCAAAACCACACAATTTATGTATAAATATAATTCATTGTATTGATACTAGTTTCATTTTAATTTTCTTTTGTAGTGAGGTTGCAAGTCGAAATTCAGGGCTTGAGGCATTGCTTAGTTGTTTACATATAGGTGATCCTGAAGTTGACTTAATTACAGTGGGTGGATTAATTGCACTGACGAATTTGGCTACTGAAGAAACAACTCGACCGAAGGTTTTGCATGTAATAACGGCCAAGTTATTGATACCAACTCTAAATTCAAAGTTAGTTTATTATTTGTTGTAAAAAAAAACATCTTAATCTTTAAAATAAATTTGTCATTATGTGAAATAATTTTTTCTTAGTGATATGATCAATCAGGCCAACATTATAATAGAAATGAGCTTGTATTGATGATACACAAATCATCAACAATTATAATGACTATCCCTAGAACCTTATATTTTATTTGATGGTGGAGCGTCAGTAGACAATAGTTGTCTTGTATATGTGAAAAATAGTACTTAGCAAACTATTACTATTTATGTGCGTTTTAAGCAACTAACGAAAAGAGCTATTCTGATCACTTAGAAAAGATTCTAAATGGTAATCAAATCAGTGTTTGCTAGTATCAGTGTTTATTCCTATAAGTTAAGTATTTGCGAGGAAATTATTAGGACACCTTTAGCCAGATAATGTGTATGGTTAGATTCTAGTGAATTCTGGAGGGTAACGTGCATCTGTCTTGTTCACAATTCAGTATGGTTTCCAGCAGTTTCTCTAACACTCAAATCAAATTCAAATAAGTATATGAACTTTGTTCACCCTCCTAATTCTCAACTAGTACATCGACCATATGACTGCTTTCTAATCTGTCCCAGTTTCAAGATTCGTAAAGTGATAGATATGAAGCTGGCTAAAATTCAATATCTTGAACATTAAATGCTGAGCAAAGATGAAATCCAGTGAATTCCACTCCTAGCCACTATCCATCTTTGTTTAGAATGCTTGTGAATCAAGACGATACTGAGGCAATATGCACAGTATGCACATATGTCAATAAGAGACTGATCAATTACAGTCCAAAACATCAGTGGGAAAATTCAAGTGAACAATACCAAGTGAATCAAATGCTGAGGTTTAGAGAAATACATTTTTTATTATGTTGCTTCGACCAAAGCTTCTGACCCAGTTATTGAGTCACGCGTAAATACCTGAAATCAAAAAGATATTTTTTTGAAATACGGTATTATTATTATTACGGAAATATATCCAAGATATTAAAAACCTCATTTCGTGACGTGTCTACGACTATTATCAAGTCGGTATACAACCAAAGGAATAGCTATTTAAAGACTATTTACAAAAAAAAGGATATGGCAGTGCCTGTGTCCAGAATATAAGTTCCAACTTCAATAATAAATCAAATGAATGTTACAAGCACGGGTAGACACTTAAAACTACCATACAGAAACGGTAGGACGTAACCAAAATGATTGAAAATGAAGTTAGTTACTGAATATAATTAAGTAGTACTATCGACAGACAAAAGCTATTCGAATAAGTTAAATGTAGTGGTCAGAAGTGTAAAAAAAAATGACAATTCGTTTAACATAACAGAAACTATTTGAGCATGCTTCACCTGTGACTGAATTTTAAACAAAATATGTTTTTGGAAGGCTTGCCGCTAGGTTATTCCTGATAAATAATGTTCTATACAGAATGATTAGTACGCATATTTAGCTTTCATCACTTTCGAGGACGATGACAAACAATACTAACAAGCAATAAACTGTCCTTGTTGAAGTGATATGTCTAAAATACCACTGGAAACGTTTGTGGCATCCTTGAGAATTGGTTAGTATGACTAAATTCTATGGTTTTGATGAGTTCTGGAGAAAATTTCATGACACAATTACAAACGTTATATATTTTTTATAGAAATTTCATCATTTTGTTTCTAAATTAATTTAGTTCAGTATTAACTCAATCTAAAGCTGCATTAGCAGTGGCTTCGCTAATATCCGAACAACATAATATCCAACAATTTATTCAACTTGGAGGTTTATCGAGTTTACTCAATTTAGTTCAATCAACAAATAATGATGTGCGTCGTTCAGCATGTTGGGCTATCGCTTCATTGACAGCTGACCACACAGCTGCTGTAACGTTATCTCAGTTAAAGTAAGTATGGTCCTGCTACTTTATTTAGCAATTATTTAGCTAGCATGCTCCCTTCAACAATAAAATAATTATTACAGGCATTTAAAAATGGAGTTACTTAACTAATAAAGCAAAGTATTTCGAAAATCTTTATTTGGAGATGAGAGTTCCACCATCTAATGAAATCAATTTAAAATAATTTCCCTTACATATTAAGCCTTTTAAACTGTTCATTTTAGTCTACTGTACATAAATGAAAGCTGAATTTTGAGCCATACTTTTGTTTGAGGTTTGGTGATTCATTCATCGTCGTTTCATTATATCCTTTGGAATACAGTGGTAATGTAAATCTTATTACTCTAATTTTGTTCGGGATTATTAAAGAAACGAGATGCATGAAATTCTATTGACCATTTTAACTTTACGATTCATTTTTTGTATTCAGGTATAACGAATTATGCTACAAGAAATAGTTTACACTATAACTTTTAAGTCATTGTTAATTTAGGTTCAAATACACAAATTAAATTGTTCATGCTTTATGAAATCAACATTACCTACTGTTATTCAAGTAGGATGTTGTACAAATACTGCATGATTAATAGGATTCACAACATAAATCATAATTTATATCAGAAGGGATAGGCCCTGGATGCTCACTGCTGAGGAGTCCCAAGATAGGACGAAACGGCCGATCAGTGCTTCCAGGTTTTCCATGATGGTTTAGCTTCAATTGACTCATGATCTCAACCATTGAGATAAATCATAATCACTTTAAATTTATAAATTTATTCTAACAAATCAAACATTTCGGATTACTAATATTTCATTAAGTTCATTAGTTAAACTGTTTCTTTATTCAAGATTATTGCAGTAAACTAACATTCCACAAATTTGCTCAATAGTTTATTAAAGACTTATTTTTTTCTCAAATTTTAGTGGTATAACTATTTTACAAACATTGAATGAATCTATAACACGTAAAAATGCTTTTACTGAATTAGCTTTAAAACGTGTACTGGACGCTAATTTAATGGCGAAATTTGCACTAACTGGTTACTTAGGTATGTTTTTAAATCTCTAATATTTTATTTAAAGTCACTTGTTAAGTATATTATTCATTAAACACTAAAAAAGTATCCGTAGGCTTCTTTACAGGAGTTGGACTGATATCTATCATTGACAGACAGTGTGGATATGTTAGTATTTTTGGATCAGCTGAGTATATATGTAATGCTTCATTATGCCCATGTATGTTCAACTGGTGCTTTCAACACTAGAAGGTAGTCTCACCTATTTCAATCTAAACTTATCATAAGCAATGATGGATATTAGCTAGCAGTGGAATCCAGGACACACGTTTCGTCCTATTTGGGACTCGTCAGCTGGATGTACCTGCGTCTCAGAGTTGATGTTCACTCTGGGACTCGAACCCAGTACCATTTGCTTCAAACGTCACCGCGCTATCCACTCATTGCTTACAAAAAGCTTGTGAATTAAGGCAATGTCGAGGCATGTGCACATTATGCACATATGCCAATAACAGACTGATCAATTGCAATCTTCAACCTCAACGGGAAGATACAAGCCAAACAGTACCAAGTGAATCTAAACTTATCATAGGTTTACCTAAAGTGAATAGAGTCACACAAACTTCTTCTTTAAATCATACCTGCGTTTTTTTCATCTGTTTTACCGTGGCCTCAAATAGATTTCTATTAAAATACTTATCAAAGTCTGTAATATCCAATCATTAGTCGTGTTATTTAGTAGCAGCTTTAATTGACTTCTGCTAGTTTTAAGTCAACTGGATTAACTTACATTTCTAAATAAGGTGATATTTAAGTAAATTTTTCTAATCGATTAAAAAATTAATAAGCTGCAATAGATGTTTACCTATATGGAAAAAAACATTTAGATAGTTGGCTCTGTTTTTACTGGACGTTCAGAATTTTCGTGTACTAAATCGTAATTGCCGTTGATTATTACTTTTTCATCTTAAAATGATTGAGCTAAGACAAGGATTATACATAACTTGTAGCAGGTATTATATCAGTAATTTTTTCAGTTCGATATGTCTTTAAGTTGATGCATGAAAATATAATTCGTAATAGTAATTCACAAACTCATTAATACTGAGGACAACAGGAATCCGAATAAATTGTATATACTGAGCGAGTTCTATGCTAGTGAACATATTTAGAAACTTATGATCATTTCTTCTTAATAATCAGGACGTCTTCACAAATACAATTAAAGTTCTACCAAATCGTTGCTTTTGAAGTTTGTGTCATTACTTTACTTGTTTAAAACATTTATTTAAAGCAACAAATTATTATACGCCTTACACATAAGGAAATGACATTTTTAAGAAATATGGGAAGGAGGAGTATTTTAATTAGAAATAAATAAATGAGGGGTAGGTGAACGAGTATCTTTTGTAATAGGAAAGATGTTTATTTAAAAATATTTCGATCAGTAAGAATTCTTTCAGTCATAAGGTTCCTTTAACTTTTATGAACAAAGAGGAAGAAAACTACAACAGGCTTGGTACTGGCTTCTATTCTATGTAATATCCAATAGCATATCGGACCATTGAGTCGCATCATCTCTTTGACTCCCACAATAAATTAATCACCTACTCATTTTTTCCAACGAGTTCCAGAGTTGACAAGCAATGCACGATATGGAATTTGTTGGGAATACATTCATAGTACATATCTAAGCAACGGGAATCGTTGTTTCAAGATGGTGACACGAACCGAATGATCGTAATTGTGCCAGAATATATGTTATCGAACCTCTGTACCACTGACATTGTGTTTCTATCAGTTGTCAGCAATCCTTTAAAGACAACGATTATCGAACAAAGAAAGTCACCGAACATACTCCGCCCAGAGAAATTGGTTCACACAAATATAGAGCAGAATTACTCTCATCAGCTCAGAGTAAGCCCGATCTTTTACAGTCAGAATAATATTACAACGGCTACAAAGAGGACCCTGGCTAATATAAGATGTTCTGACTCTCATTATGTGTAGACCGATTTCATCACTCACGACACCACCAACGCCTATACAACTATCCAATTACATGAAACTTCCGATTAATTCTACTGCCTCACCTCAAAGAAAGAGTGCAGCCGCAGGATTCTACTAGTCTTGTAAACGTACTTTGTATTTAGAAGATGAAAAGTATATACTATGCTGATGGACGCTGACTGCCTGACTTGGGTATCATCACCACACAGTAAGATAATCTCCTCCACATACCCAAGGTAGGAACGTTTTCCTTCAGGTAACGGATCCGCACCACTACTACCTTATTCTACTAGAACTGTTTGTGGAAAGTCATCGATGGCAAAGTTGAAGAAATCGGGTAACTCTACCTAACCCCATTACTTGAATGAGACAATGGAGAGGTGATTGTACGCCCTCGCTCTGCTTGTGGTGCTTGTGTACAGAACCCTCAAGATTTTAATGAAATTCACAAGCATACTCGTCCTCAACAGACAGTCTCAGATGAAGGTCCTTTCCATTGAATCAAAGGCAACACTGACTTCAAGAAATTCCACTATTGTTAGCTATCAGTAAGTATGGTGGTGCTTCAACCTTGGCGGGAAGCGAAGATGTGATCACTACATCCACAGTCAGAACGAGAATCAGTTAGTTAGTTTGTCATGTGCCTTGAATAATCTGCAAACTCCGATGAAAGCCAATAGTTTGCACGCAGTCGGAAGTAGATTTACTCCTCACATCAGTTGTTGCGTAAATGGTGTAGACCCTTTTCAAAGATTGGGAATGACAGTCGCTTCATTCCAGGATGTTGGAATTACGTATGGTCAACCGTCTTCCACCTTGAAGAGCAATAATTCCTGGTGTAGGAGCAGGTTGGAAAAAAGTTTGGAGTAGCGTGGTATCACTTCATAAAGCAACTGGCTGTTGGCATGAGCCATGTCATTAGTTACAGACTATCAGCGGTTATCGTGACTAATGTTGGAAATGTCGCATAAGACAAATAAGGATCAGTCGAATTGGTACTGATGCTCTCATTGTTGGTTCTGTAATAGATCTTGAGGTCTGAGATTATCTTAACTCAAATAACGTTATCTACGGCTAATCTTTTTACCAATGATACTATTACTGTTTCGACAACTTTTGAGTTTACCTTGGCAATTTCATGTTATTGTGCCAAAATGATTTGTCAGATTCAACCAACAGGAGTGTATACTCGTTTCTAAGTTATTCGTGCTAACTGACTGACCATCAACTATACATAATACTTAAATTATTCTTATTCAGTTCATTATAATATGAGCTTTATCATTTTTAAGAAATTGATCTAATGGAGAAAATATTATTAAATTAAATTAGCATGGGATATTTTGAGGTGATAATATTCTACTTCTTATTTCAAACAGATTTTGTTGATCATATACCAGATTTATTTTATGATCCTGGTCAAATAACTAATCCATCTCAATTTTTAACATTGGATGAATATAATGAACAATCAGTGAATGACCGTCGACCAATATTTTTAATAAATTTACAAAAATGGTCAGAATCTGGAAGTTAGATTTTTTGTTTAAATTTTTTTTTCACACATTCATTCGTATTTTCAGTAATCTAATCTCATACTCAATAACAACTTAGTTTGATTCGATTTTTATCCTATTTATTCACAAGAACTTTTCACAACTTAGTAAATACTTTTATTCTCCCAATATTTTTATTATGAATTGTAACTATTTTAGGCATATGTTTTCAGCCTAAATCTTAGGTACAATATGTTGACAAGTTTGTACTAAATTAACTTCGAATATTGCATGGTATGAATTTACTTTTAATTCTATTCATAAAAAGAAGAATCCGTTCTGTGGACCAATGACAACTTATTATGCTACTGATTTTTTTAAATTTTATAACTAACCATTATAGAAAATTGCAAAACACTGTGACACTGATTAACAGGGTGAATCTGCAACTTTCAAAATAACATGCTCTCGTAGGACATTGATTTAATATTACTCAGTTATATGGTTATAGACACAACACTAATCTATTGGAATCACACTTGCATACTATGAAGTGAGAAATCTGGACTCAGCGATACTTCTTATTTCTGTCTCAGTTAAAGATACTGATGATTATGGTTACATCAGTTTTAATTTACAAACCGTTGTTTGTAGTCATAGAAAAGGAATATTGATATAAAAGTAGCCCAAAAGTCAAAACTAAATCCAATTCAAATTTACATATGAACATAATAAAGCAGAAATACTGGAAATTTTGTTTCTTTTAGATTTAATTCTGGTAAGATAAATTTTTTTCGATAAACTTTCCTAACTAATTGTTTCGTAGGTCATTTCGACAATGTTCTATTTCGTAAGATAATAAGATAATAAAAGTAACCACCAAGTTTTGGATAATCACTTCTCTTATTGTAGAGTAAAATAAATGCCTATTAACTATTTCTAACTACTCACTCTCTCATTTTTAACAAGACGGAAGTGTCATTTAATAAAACCTTTTTCTGAATAAGATTTTATCATTAGAATTGGTAAAACTATGTGTTTTTTGTCTTTAATCTCTAATAATAGTGATATTGTTTCATCGTCAGATTATTTACAATCACAAGATTCGAATGATGCCAAAACTGATGATTTGAAACAAGATGATTTAAATTATTTCAATGAAATGAAATATCCTTTTGATTCTACATTACATGATTGGTTAAATATTGCAATTAAACAAATTACGTCAATAAGTGAATTAAAAGAGCAAATAAAATCTTTAGGAGAGTAGGTTTAATTAAAAGTTGTTTATTCAATATTTTGTAAATTTGTTTTTTGTAAAGTAATCCATCTAGTAGTGAAATTTTGGATAAGTGTTTCGTTTTGTTTTAACATAATTAATAGCGTATATCTTTTTCACATTGAGATTTGGTTAATAGTCATGAATTTCGATCATAACTATCATTAAAATTAATCTCATAAATCATCTTTTTTAAGTAGAGATTCAGTAGCTTATGTTCTGCTATCTACCACATTTATAACAATATGATTGTAATATTTGTTATTGTTTTACGCATCTATGAAATTCACGATATCTCTTACGTTAACTGTATTCTGCATTGTTTTCAAATGATTTATGAATCACTTCTTATGTAACTTACTCTCAGGCAAATTTCACTATTTCGCCGACCTAATAGTAGTTTTAAAAGTAGTTTGATTCAATTTTAACGATAACGATTAAGGAGTTATGAAATAACAATAATCATTTTTCAGCTGTTTCTTTACATTCTAAGAATATTCGACAAAAAATAATAGTTGGGACAAAATTGCTGATCCAATAACTGTAAAATCTATTCTGCAACAAGTCATAATGAGTCTCAGCCAACATAAAGTACAAATCATAACGATCATCATCAACAGAAATTTGTCTTATTTTTAAAAGTTCCATATGTTTAAAAAAACCATTCCTTATTGTATAAAATTATTTCTCTTATTTGTATGTTTTACATCCCCAAGATTTGTTGCTTCTTGTTATGGAGGATCAATCAACAAAGATGAACAATTCACTCTAAGAAATGAATTATCTCTGGCACAGTTACGATGTCAATTGAATTCTAACTTAATACCAATAGGTTTAATTAAACAAGGATCATTTCTACAACGTGCATTAGTTTTTAAAGTAAGTAGTCTACTTCAAGTGTTCAATTTACATCTAGATTTCTTTGACGCTACAATTCACTCATGGTTTAGAGTGAATCCGACTTTTAGTACGTATTTATATCAATAACCACAACATAAATTGAAGTCTTAACCAAAGTTACGCCTAGGTAATCAATTGATGATAAATTTTGTAACATATAGTATTAGATTCAACTTCACCTTTAAACTATGAGTGCAATGTTGATTTACTTAAACCTCTGGATACAGGTAACCAAAATATGCATTACCCTTATTACCAAGTAACTTGTGCGCGTCGATAAAATCAACTAGAAAGATATCCGAAGCTTGTAATCATGATATTAAGCCAGTAAACTGTAACAATAAAAATAGTAAACAGAAAAGATGTGTCATAATTATTTTGTGACAGATCCAATTTGCAAAATAGTATGAGAATTGGGTCTCGAAGCTTATCAACAACTCCTTATCAATAAGATTATCTATTATGATGTTTACTATAATTATCAATTAGTGAATTATCAGTCACATAAATCAATTACATTTGCTTTCTTTATCTTAAAAAAATTATGTATTTATTACAATTAAATTGGTAAGTATATATTGAGATTACAGTTATTGTTTTCATTAATAAATGACCTTGACAGAGAAATGTGGGAATCCCAGAATGTTCTGAAGAAATAGTCCTCAAATAGATGTCCATTAAAAATTGTAGAGCACTGAATTGTTAGCTATCTGGTCAGTCCGTATTGTAAACTACCTTCATAATGAATAATCTCTACACAACTCTTACGTTATCTTTTATTTCTTTCTCCCCAAATAAATTCAGTTACTTGCTGATCGAATTGGATTACCAACTAATTTAATACGTGGAACATATGGACGTTCATTTAATGAAGTCCTGATAGAATCAGAAAATTCAGTAGGTTAAATTTTAAATGTTTTCTATGTAAGAAGCATTGTGAATTAGCGGAATTATACGAAAAATTCACAGTTTACTATGAATACAAAAAGTTTATATCACTTTATGATTCTTAATATTTAGTCATAGATATCTGATTAACAACTTAAATGAAAAGGTCACTGTCCCAAGCTGTTCATTCACTTAATTACACAAACTTTCATGACAAAGGAATTCGCAATATAATATTTAGTTACGATTCAGTGATCGATTACCTTATTGACTTTTATCAATCGTGTTCCTCGAAGCATGAGCAATTAGTTCACAGGTTAGGTTGCTTTCAAAAACAGTCCACGTTCTAGAATTAAAAAAAGGATATTAATTTTTTTTTTTCGAGCTTACAGAAATATCTTTTTCATACATCAAATTAGTAATTAGTAACGTGATTTCTGATTTACACTAACTGTTTGTTCATATTTATCGGTAATAATAACAATAAACACAAGCTAAAATCTAATTGATTATTAATCCAGTTACACGTTGTGTCAATTGGCAAACTATTTCAAAATCTCACACCACACTTTTATGACCAGTTTGTGTTTTCCGATATTAAACTTTAGCGATTGTTATCAGTAATTGAATTTCACTTAAAGTGTATTTGTAGACAGTTATTATGGAAGTAAACTTTTCAGATAATCCAAATTTAACTAGCTTAATCAGACAATGAAATGGTTAAATTAATTTTAAACTTATCTATAAGTTGGTCACTCAACTATATTATTTCTGATAACTAAGTTTCTGTTTGGAATTATTCAATGAACAGTGAATATCTTTCTGTTAAGTACTGATGAAAAAATATGAGTACGTAGACTGTTCTTATACACATTACAAGGCATATGAGCTATCACAATATTTGACTATTTTCGAATCAAAATTAGAGATAAAAAAGACCAGTCAGGATGGGCGAAATCAAGCTGAACTGTATGGTTTGAAAATCACAAACAGTAAATGATGAAAAATCTTCTGTGAGGTTAAGGAAAATCTTCATCCTAAAAGATGTTACGTGTGAAGTTTTTAGAAAATTTAATTCACTGTCTCAATCTTTAAATTTTAATTGATTATCCTCTGACTTGTCGGCTAACTGTTTTTTACCATTTTTTCCATTATCAACTGCTTGAATGACTAATTTCAAAAACCTTTGTTGCTTTTTTGTAGAAATCTCAAACGTATAGAGATTTATATGTTGTGGATTTAATGTTTGAACCCGGAAAGTTATTAAAATCGTCTACAAGTGAAGCATTAGAGTACACTAGTATAGCCTGCTAATAATAATAATAGAATTTACCTTCCTTCAGAACTTGTGTATTTTTTCATGTAAATTAACTTCAACTACTCCAGATTCTTCATCATTCAGCAAAGTCTTTTATTAGTGAATAAATTTAATTACAAAACATACAGTTTTCTCTTCTCTATGCATAAAGCAGTTTTGTACTGATTTGGTAATGTAATCATAGCTCTCAATGTATATTAAACAGAAGTAGCTGAGAAAACAGTTATGATCTGTTTGTAATTTTTTATTTTATTTATTTCAACACATAAATATTGGTACGAGGGGGCACCATATATATATATATATATATATATATATATATATATATGTCCGGCGCTTTACCAGGTTGGTGGATATGGAGGATCCACCTAGGGGAGTTGGGAAACCCTGATTTCGAATCAATGGTGCATATGGGCTCCAGTATCCTGAAGGAAGAAATGGCGTATGAACCAATTATTGGTCACCGGCTACTATGGGACTGCATCTTCTCATGATGCTTCACTGCCTTGTGGGTCAGACCTTTAGGTCAAAGGGTAGGGGTGTGGCCCCCTAAGAAAACCACCTGCTTCAGTCTGGGCACCTGAACAGTATCACAACCCACACACAAATAAAATGAAAATGACGATATTTACTGAAAATTCTATTCACGCTTCGATTAACGGCCAAACAATCTACATTATTATCATTTACCACGTCACTTATTCACTCTCTTTTTTATTTTTACCCTGTTGGTAAGGTAATAAACTAAATTAATTGACTTAATCAAACTAGTTATAAGCACTGGAAGGTTTTTGGTCTGTTATCGTGGGCATTTATCTCCTTAAAAAATATCATTCGCTGCCTCCTGAGTGGTTTCAAACAATATTTCTCTTTGGATCGCCAATCGATGAAAACTATCTTTGAAATGAACAAATATCCACGTACGATGAATTAGAAAATTAAGCACTAGTGACAGCTTGTTAGAAGTTTCAGTACACAATTCTCATCACTTTGCTCTAAGTCGTTTCAACTGAAGTACTTTCAAACCACTAGACAAATTGTTGTGAACCAGTAATTCTAGTTAAAATATAAGTATCTTGAGAAAGAAAAGCGACGGACTATCTTCAATCGACAATTTACTTAAGTTTTAAGCAGTTTGCCTAGGTTATCATTTTCGGAATATGATCTATCCAAAATGTTAAAAGATGGCGGAACTACAAAAAGTAAGTAAAAGCATTTATCCGGGGACAGCAAGAAACATTGGGCGAAACTATTGCTATCCGAAGTACATTTGCCAGGTCAAACAGACCAGCATTTAGTGCTTACATCGTTTGGAGTCATTTACCGTCCTTATAAACGCGTAACCAACCACAAAGATAAGTTCGAAGATCTCTCGCCCAGCCGCCTCAGTCTCTCAGTAGACCATTCAAGCCAAATTATGCTGGTCCAACAGAAACTTCAGCAATCAGATTAGACAATCTCTACCTCTACGTTACTAAAATGAATGTAATAATTAAGAAGACAAAGGAGCCTGAGATCATTTACATCTTTGGTCGGCATAAAAATAGGAAACGCTTATCATGCAGACCAAACGCGTATAGGAGCAAATCCGTACCTCAGTACCAAAGTCCAGTATCCTCAAGAAGTTTATGATTTCAAGGAACTTATATTTCACTGAAAATATCATCAAGAAGTATGTAGTGTCAGTCATTATGTTAAGCCCATATACTTTATTCTAGCTTTCAGACAGCCTAATCTATTCACTCTACCTAAGTCACATTCTGACCTTGTTAATTATTCGCTTATCAATCTTGACTGTTTTTATATGAGCGCGTAGGTGTGTGTACACTCCTTATCCCAATATTCATCACATGTCTGTAACTTACTTTTGTGTAACTATAAATATTGACTAATGCTTGGTTAAATGGGAGTTGGCTTACCAGCCAGCTCGACTCTGCATCGTTTCTGTTCTCTCTATTCTATTCGTTTTATATACGAAATATATGTATTCAAAATTTCATTCTCGTTACTTGACTTATTTAATTCTGTTACTGACTAACGCGATTTAAGTAGATGATTATATACGAGGATAGGCGATAAAAAACATTCATACGATCTAATTGGAGTCAGAACTCGGGCCACTAAAGTGGAGAGCCCTTTCGGCGACATCGTCTGATCTAAATGATGACAAAATTCAAGGGCCCCACAAGTATATCTCGTTAAACAAAGCAACAGATGTTTATATTTATAGGCTATGAATTAACTTCCCTGTCATTAAACTTGAATATAACAATCCTATTTTAAAACCCAGTAAAAGTACAATTTCCGGAATTTTCATTCATTATCCCGTTCATTTAGTTGTGAACTGCTATATAGAGGTGTGTGATTTGAATTTGAGAATAAAATTCAGTCATATAAAGAAATTTACATAAATCTTATATGGATAAGTGTGATGTTTGAATGAACTAATGATACCTTTGTACTTGTCGAATGCTTGATTTCGAATTCCAAATACAGTACATTCGTTCGTCCTTATCTCGTAATTCTTGATTCAGTTGCTATATTTCTGGGATTCTTAGTTCGTGCTATGATTCAAATACTCCTAATTATCACAGACCATATCTGGTACAATAAAATGAGAGATCTGATACGATGACTGATTAGAAACTGTTGTCTCACAAGGATTCTGGGTTTCATTTAACTCTGGTCTGCTATGTGACTCTATACCGCTTTTCGAAGTCGTGAATAACGATAAATGATCGTTAGAAACACCCAAATTAATAGGATCACAACTACAAATTTTAATATTAGTTGCAGCGGAATGAACTGTAGTATGACAAACTGACTGAATGTGTCCAATCTCACCACATTTAAAACATTTAGCATTACTAAATGCACATGAATTACGTGAATGAAATTTGCCACAGGATAAAAATCAAACATGATCTCACCTTCGTGAACTGTATCTCATATCCTCAATGCATTATCAGCATAAGGTTGAGTACGCATTGGATTGGAATAACGTAGTAAAGTAGTGGAATTCTTGATGTCCTGATGAATAATTTTATGAAATTTCCCTCATTTACCGCATTTCAAAATTTGTATACTTAACATAGTTTAGCAGTAGTTCCTAGAGAGTTGCCTAAGGAAGCGAAATGGGCTTTTCTGATAAAGCCAGAGTTTTTAATAAACTGTATGGTTCTTTTCCGGTGAATGTAAGGAAACGTGCCACAATATTAACATCCTCAACATCTTCCTTGGTCATAGCCCAGATTTCGAACCTTTCCAAGTAATCCTCAAAAGCGTCAAAATATGAATGCATATCCAACAATTCCATGACAGGCTCGATCGCGACGCCAATGTGATAATTAGGAGCATTTGAATTATAGTATGAACTAAGAATCCCAGAAATAACGTAATCGGATCAAGAAGTACAAGATAAGGACGAACGAATGTAGCAGCACCTGAATAATGAATTTTCAAGGACTTCACGATACCATGTAACGCAAAATGGAAAAACCCCTTTTTACCCAATTATGAAAACGGAAAATAGAATTTCAAATTTATTCATAATGTATTTCGAAATTTGGTTGTGCACAAAGCAGAAATGAAAAAGTAGCGCAAAAAAGTGTCGCGATACCCCTGGAGCGCTGCCACGAATGTACTGTATTTGGAATTCGAAATCAAGCATTCAACAAGTACAAAGGTATCATTAGTTCATTCAAACACCACACTTATCCATATAAGATATACGTTAATTTTTTAATAATATAATTCAAATACTCCTTATTATCTATACACGTTCAAATTAGAAGTTAGCAGAGTAGTAGTTCAAATACATAATTGAGAAGTCATAGATATATCTAGAAACATTTGGTTTTAGCTGGGTAGTAGCTGCAAAATTTCTTCGCACGATGTATCTACTTGTGATTTCGTGCAAATGCGTGACTCAGTGGATTTAGCTAGGGTATGTCCAGTAAATCGGGGGGGGCTTCATTATCAGAGACATACAGAACTGGTTAATTTGAGGATTTATTTACCGCCACAATAAGGATACAAACTGTCAAGAATATTAGTTAGTCAACTTGTCTCAAGCATTACTACATTAATCTAATAGCAAAACATGATAGATAGATAGATAGATAGATAGATAGATAGATAGATAGATAGATAGATAGATAGATAGATAGATAGATAGATAGATAGATAGATAGATAGATAGATAGATAGATAGATAGATAGATAGATAGATAGATAGATAGATAGATAGATAGATAGATAGATAGATAGATAGATAGATAGATAGATAGATAGATAGATAGATAGATAGATAGATAGATAGATAGATAGATAGATAGATAGATAGATAGATAGATAGATAGATAGATAGATAGATAGATAGATAGATAGATAGATAGATAGATAGATAGATAGATAGATAGATAGATAGATAGATAGATAGATAGATAGATAGATAGATAGATAGATAGATAGATAGATAGATAGATAGATAGATAGATAGATAGATAGATAGATAGATAGATAGATAGATAGATAGATAGATAGATAGATAGATAGATAGATAGATAGATAGATAGATAGATAGATAGATAGATAGATAGATAGATAGATAGATAGATAGATAGATAGATCGACAAATAGATATGTAAATAAATAAATAAATAAATTGAAAAGCAAACGAAGTAATATTGAAAAGGTTCGGGTATAAAGTATTCATATTATCCATGAGACTGAACTAAAGTTAACTAATAGAATTGAATTTATGCATTTGACAGCCTCACGATTAATGGTTACTCGTTCAAAGAAGTAGGGGAAGCCTCAAGGCTCTCCGAGCAAATAGAAGAGCTCAAAATAACAGTGCAAGTGGACACTGGAGAAATGTGTAGATACGAACATGATATCAATAGTATAGGGGAATTTCTCGATCCACACCGCATAGTGCAGACGTGTTATATTGTCTTACACTACTCTCTTCTTACCTTTTTGGAATTTTTCATGAAGCCAAATGCGCTGATGTGCTGCAACTAAACTCACACCTGGAGAAACATGAAATTTTTTCCATTTTAATTTATGTTTCATGTGCATATATTCGAACGCAGGTAAGAAGAATACATATATATATATA